GGATTCGAAAGCCCAAATCGAAAGCGTCACGTGAAGCACAATATTGATATCATTCGATTAAATTCGACTCAAAATGAAGGTAAATATTAAACATTTCACTTCCAATGTGCTTTACTCCAGGGCTCAAAACATCGAAATTCTATCCTATCATTGTCGTAATAGTTTCAGTGGAAAATAGTTTTTGAGCTATACATTTAGCCGAAGCAATGCTCGGAGTAAATCTAGGTTTCACACGTATTTTATTTCACGATTTTAAATTACGGTTATTATTCAATTATGTTGTATGTTCATGGAAATATTATATTTTAATTACCCGACAAACGGCGACCGCCCAAGCAAAAGAGTATTTTCTTTCATATTAAATGGCTCATTTTCAAAGAGCTGGAGCCAAGTCAAATAAGAGGAAAAGAGATGGAAAAAGCGTTCCAGAATGCGATTGACAGACTTGTGCGATTAATTGGCAAAAAATGTGGCAATTAGTTGGAGTAAAATTTGGGTCCGTCCCAATAATTTTGATACATTTCCCTCGAAATCTCTGTTCGGGTGTAGGTGTATGTGTATGAATGAACACATTACGTTATAAGCGAATAAGCCCACGAGCGTCGTTTGCAATAAATTTCAAGTAATGACCCGTGGCTAATTTGAATTTCCGAAAAATTCATGATTCGAAATGTGCAAATTAATTTCGCACATACTTGAATGTGAGTTGGCCAAAGTAATTGAGTCGCCTGAACTGCAGATTCAATCAAAGTACATTTCAGCCGAATTTGTGACAATAATGTGTTTCGACGACGAAATTTGCCGTTTGCTTCCACTTCAATTACTTTAACTGTTGCTTATCGGCTGCAACTCAATTTCGTTTACTTCAATCAATTTGATTTTGGTATCTGGTTTCTAGCGAAAACCTGATTATCATCGCCACCAATTCACAAGAAGCTTATCAAATGTTCAAATCATCGGTGTCCTTTGTCTAATGGCTTGAATAAGATTCGGCTTTGTCAATTGCTATACTATTTCAGAAGAAAAAGAGACCGGATTTGAGAGAATCGAATGTTATATAACATTGAAATGCACAGCTTGGATAACACTTAGTTCCCATATGTGACGTGGCACTAGACGAATTGAGGTATCTTTTTGAGCGTATGTGTTTGCAAGTTCATCTTCTGTGGCGTAATTTATTGGCTTCAGTCATGGCGTTGCCATTGAAAACGCACTTCTTCTAATGAAATCTATCTTGCGACGTCATAATTCACCAGAATGACCTACAGCAACGCTATGTTATATTACGTGACCGACCGATGCGATGAACATTTTCGACTTAAATGATTTCCACCAGAGGCGATTGATTCTTAGAAATTGAACCCCACATTTTTATATATAACCAAGCTATTTATTTATATTTTTTCGCTCTTTGCATTCTCAAGAACCGCCTATCTTCGAAATCTCCGCATTTATTGATACCACACAAATTCAATAAATAAACGTTGCTATTGCTTTAAACTTTCGATTGACTTAATGTATTTTGATTTGTTGTCAAGTAAACAGTTTATGTTTAATCGGATTTTGGTACTAAACGATCGCAACGAGCCGCAAAGAGATCAAATTACGTCCGTCGGAACGATTTTTGTGTTTGTTGTATACGGTGCGGTGGACCTATCGAAATTTGTGTCGTTTCAGTTTCATTTGAATAATACAAAACATTTAGTTGGTTTCAAGCAGCCGTGAAGAGCACCGACTCGCAAAAAAAAGGCTTGCATTAAATTGGAACAATGTGTTTTTAGCAGCTCTGATGGATTTTTGACTATTATTCAATGCCACAGAGCATCTCTATCATTTGATACATTTTCTATCATCAATTCATTTATCGTGTCATTAAACACTGAATATCGAAATTTCGTTCAAAATTCCATACTGAACCATATAAGTGTAGGAAATGTGAAAAAAAGAGTGACAAAGTTACGAGAAAATATCTTCAATGAATCGACGAAGAAATACGAAAACGCTGAAGCCCGAAGAAAAGTGGTGTTGGTCCCAATAATGTAAACAAAGAAGGTTCAGACGAAGGAGATTTTTTCGGGGAAAAATGAGAGTGATTGTGTTTCTTGATTGCGTAGACTTGTTTTGTTGCCAAAGAGGATGGATTGTATACACATACAGGAAACGAGCATACGAGCGTTGTAAATAATCAAGTTGAAACGTCGGATGTCGAAAATGATGCAAAGATATCCTGAGATGACATTGCATTTGTCTCAGAGCAAAACAATGACAAAAATGGTTCGATTGTAACTAGGGCTGGTTAGATTATTGTTACCAAGTAACAGTAGTTTTGCGTTATTCTGTGCGAACGATGGAATTATTAATTTAGGAAATTGTTCTGATGAAACGAAAACGCCAGTATGATTCATTAAGTGGTTGTCGGTGTTGGCATGGTGGCGAAAACGAACCATTTAATTGGTTTATTTATTTACTTTCTGTGGCGTACGTGTCGAAGACGCTGAAGTGGCCCCAACACGAAATATGGTATTGTGAATGTAATGTTGGTGAGATGTTTTCCGATAGAAAATTATCACCGATATGGCTAAAAACGAGCGACGCTCATGTGTAAATATCGTTCAATTGCTTTTTACCCAAAATCATACACAGAATGTCACGTTTAAACGAGTAAATCTACAGAAAATCACTTACATTAGGGAAAATTGTACAATTTTTGCCTTACCTTGAATTCGATCACGATTTGTCTTGGTATTGATAGACTTTTCTCTCTGCGTCGCTCTTTCTCTCCCGAAGCGATACGTTTTATCGACATTTATGTGATTTGTTCACTTGAGCTCAAACAAAATGTTGTATTGTCGCTGTGCATTGCACGAACTTGACTGTGGTTTGCAAAGTGAATTAATATCAATGCAATATATCACAGAAATACCATGCCCTACCTGACACAAGTACACATCACACACACATAAACATATATCATTTTAGACGATTTACTTCTTATTTTTCTTCATCTCTTTATTCCGCTTTGTTTCGTCAATGCATATTCTCAATCACACTGCAAAATCACTCCGGGCTAAATTGACACTCTAGCACCTCTTCAAACAAATTCCTTCAATCATTGTATTCTTCATGAGATTTGTGAGTCTCGGATGGAGATTGTGTCAAGTTGTCAATATTGAGATAAACAAACATAGATTTTCATTGACTTCTTCAAAGTCGGAAGAGATTTCAAAGGATATTTTTTCTCTCTTGATGATCTCGGTATGAATGTGTAACAGTAATGGCTTTTTTAGTTTCAACAAGGTATATTTCGAATACACGCACACTCACGCTCACGTTTACAATATGAGCCCCACACTGCAGAGCAACAAAGCATTTTTCTGCCCGTGTTAAAACATTTTCGTTGTATATTTTTCGCTTGAGATGATAAAGTGTTCCGAAAATGGAATGAAAATTGAAATTCTAGCAAAAATACCGAAAGTTTTCATGCGAAAACCCATCTAATATTGATGAACAGGTGCGATTTATGAATTATAAAATGACGAAAAACGCAAAAAAAAAATGAATCATATGCGTGATGAAGGTAGTCTCTGAATATTTAATCAATAAACACCGTGAACCTAGTCAAAATAATGAAGCAAACCTTTCATACCGTATTTTTCGCATCTCCAACTCTCGTTAAACGCTCTTTGCAACACACAAACGACAAGAAGAAAAAAATGAATATATCGTACCACGACCCAATTATTTCTCACTTTCAACCAATTTGTTGACAACAAACATTGTTGACATAGCAATACAATAAAAGACCCCAATCACACTTCTCAACACGCACACATTCAATTCCTGCTCGAAATCAACAGCATCATTCTATTTAAAAGGATATTTCTTATTCTTTTAGCCAAAAAAAGTAGCCCGAAACTCACACTATTGGTTACGTTCGCTTTGTAGTGAAAATTCGAGACGTAAACAGCAATTGGATGGTACTTTTATGATGGTTTGATAACAACTGATTGCAAGTACAATGGCTAGAATGAATTGAATTGGCTTGAGTACTTTTTCCATCGAATGAATGAGTGAAAACTGACTCCGAACAAAATTGACTCAATGAAAAAGTGAGTGACGTTTTGATATGAGCGAGAATCGTTTTTTCCATATTTTTCAGAGTAAAAAAGCCAATTGGGAATACATTGGTTGCTCTGTTCTCGTGTCATCGAATTTATCGTTCGAAATTCAGAATCGAAAAGACAATTCTTCTAACATCATTTTAGTAAATATGAACGGCTGAACCACTGAACCACTGAAAATTATAATGATTTGTGCATGCTAGCGATTTTGAGAGTGATTTATTCCATTTTATTCGGAACAAAGACATTTCTATGCAAAAACAATGCTTGTTTCCATGTGAAAGAGTCTTTCTCATTTTTGTTGTCATTGGTCATTTCCCAAGGCGTTTGAAAAACAATGGCTAAAGTTTCTTGTAACGCTTTTTTTCATGAGTTTTTCCTTTATCCGATCAAATTAGTTTGAAATGGATCCCAAGATGATTTTGAAATGCACAAACTTCTTTATATTCGCATCGATTATTCAGAGCGATTTGACTTGTGCTTTGTGAGCGGAAATCAAGTCTGAACTTCTTTATCAGCACAAAGAATAGTGATTGATATGAACAATGAACGGCTTGGATGAGCAGATGCCATTGTGTCATCAACAAAAACATCGTTAATGGAATCCCATTCTTAGTCGATGGTGGAATTAAGCAAAAATTGTCGCCTTTGTCATCACCTTTTCCGTACGATAAATGAAAAATATCAACTCAATGCTCGGCCAACATTTGTTTGCTAAAACGGTTTGTTTTGTTGCAAAGATTGACAACCAAATGCAAGCATTCAATATCATGTGAACATAGTTTCGATTTTTCTAGGGTTGTTGTTTTGATTGCATCTCAATCGGCTGACAAATATTTGCATTTTTAACGGTTTCATTGTTTTTTCTGTTGTTTTCAGGAATTTGTTGTGTGACATCAAAGCGGAAATCATCGATTTGCTGAACGCACGATGATCTCATGAATTCATTCCGATGGACATTTTTCGGATGGTTACTTTTTTGGAGAGTCAGTCTTGAGGTAAGTTTTGATCGATCAACATCCCAAATCATTTGTATCTTACGGAATTTGTAACGATTGCCTATCAAACCATCAATCAAACTGTGTTTTCTGTTCGGACGCTTGTTCGACGCACTGCAACATGACGGAATTCACGGCATCAAAAATAATAATTGACAAGGTTTTCACTTATTTTTTCATAATTGTTCGAAAATCTGGTGCTTTTTCGTGTAAAACCCAAGGGGTGAGACACAAATTCTAGTAGAGTCTAGTTACATTCAATTTTATATATTTTTGCTTTATGTCCTCTAATTTTTCTAGTTTTGGTGCAAAAGTGCTAATATTCGGTTGCAGAGCGTATTACACTATCAATATAATGCTTATGAAAGACCTAACGGGACTATTTTGTAAACAATAAACAATACGTCCATAAGCGTTAACATTGGCAAACCAAACTCACTAATTTCTTCTATTTTTTCTATTATCGTTGAATAATGTTCTAATTTTACTCATTTAAGTTTCTTGTCTCCCCCTTAGGTAAAACCTCAGATTTTGATGGATTTTTTTTTTCAAAATCGATTGGATTTATATTTATCCAATGAGATATTTTTTGTGAAACCCAACGGAAATGAGTGTTGAACTCAACCAACAAATTCAAAGTGACTAATTGGAATGCAACATGCTTTTTCTTTCAAACAGGTTGTCATTCGTGGATTTGCGGCGATCAAAAATAAAGTCGAAGTTAAATTCGACAAGCATACCAATTTGCTTGATGGTCCGGCGTACGATGTCAAGCAGGCAATTATATCGGGTGCGTGAATCATTGAACGTAGAATTATCCTAGTGATGGAAACGTTTGATTTTTTCTTTCATTTTCAAATATTTTCTCTAACAATTTTTTTTCTTTTCAATCCCCAGCCATCGATTTCGTGTTGAATTCATCGTATCAAGACGAAAACCTGGCATCGCAACTGTCGCATAAAGAATGTCTCATCGACAAGTCTTATGTGACTGTGCACATCTCGGGCGATGTGGATTTCGAACTGAATGTGAGGAAAAACGAAGAAACTGAGTTCCAGAAGACAAACCTAATTGAAAATCTTCTCTTTGTTATTCACAGCAAATGGACGGGAAAAAATTCGAATTGACTCGATTCTTAACCAAGAATCGTATTGGTTCGGTCTACGTTTCGTGCAATGGTCAGAAGCCAAAGGAACAGGACATTCAAGCGTTTCACAATCAGTTGAATTTGTTGCAGTTCACACGCATGGATGATGTGCTCATCAGTGAACGCAGTTGCCCAACGAGTTCTGATTTGAATGAGATTTTCGTTGGCGCAATGAATTTGAAGGAAGTGGTTGAGGGCATCAAAGTCAGCAATTTCCTTGGAGCGAAGAGCAGCGCGCGGAGCGACAACGAGTCACGCCTTTTGTTGGTGCTAAAACGGCAATGCGCTGAGGGTAAATCACATCTGACTGAACTTCGAACATTGGAAGCGGCAATATTGATGAATGAAATCAATGAGATGGATTCGAAATGTTCGCCCGATAACCACGCTGCTCGAGAAAAACAGCGTGAAATCGCCTTGCATCTGCAAGCGGCAAAATTCGAAAACGTTCAACTTCTTCGTTTTTACAAATACGCATATGCTCTTCACCGGATTTCAGAATTGGAAAGTTTGTCCGCCGAATTTATGGTTGAGGTCAATGATTTGTTCAAAGAATTCATGGTGTGTTGGAAAAAGTACACGGAAGACATGAAAAACGCACGTGAAATTCAGTGGGAATACGACAAGTATGTTCAGATGAACAAAATGAAAACCATGCTTGGCGCTCATTTCAATCAACGAGTTACACCCGCCGAATTTGCTAAAGATTGTGAAAAGAAAATTGACGCAGCTCAGAATCGTCTTCGGAAAATGCAACAAAATGAAGATTACAAGCTGACAAAGCGACTGGCTGCCGAGATGAGCAAGGACATTGAAGATCGACGCAATGCGGTGAACGACGAGATTACAAAGCTCAAAGGTCTTGAACAAAAATGCTTGGACAACGAAATTGAACGGTAATTCATAAAAGAAGAATCACATTGAGTCGACAGTCCATAATTCCTTTTTTCTCTCTTAAAATTCCACAGTTCCAAAAGTACACGTGATTTTGTGACATTCACAAATCAGATGGCACCCGCTCAACTCACCATTGAACAGTTCTTTCTGCGTCAAACTCTCTTGAATCCAGTGAGTAAACCCAAGTTTCCCTTTTCTCAAGAGTTTCCTTTGCAATTTCTCAGTAATGAGCCAAAAATTCAACTCAATTCCAGATCTGCATTGAGTCATGGCGTGCTGGCTTCATGGCACTGACCTTGGAAACGGCTTACGCCAAGGAAATCCCGCAAAATTTTGCTGGAAACGTGTTGGACTTCATCAACCCGAATACGAGCAACGATAAACTGAATATTGCTTTGCCATTGTTGTGTCAGTACTTTGCAATGTTCTTCTTCAAGACAAAGTCGGTGGCAGACGCATTCAGTGAGCTCGTCAAGCATTTCTTGACAGACGGATTACATATCTACACTCATGTCATTACTGAGGATGTCGATGAGACACGTTTGGCTAACCTGGTGAGTATTTTTGTTTTCAATGAAAATATACGGAAAAAGGCTACAGAATTCAATTCTACAATATCCCACAGCCATTCACATCATTGGCCGATCAAGTATTGAGTGATGCGACCCAAGCAGAGTATCCACTCATCACGAATTGGTTTAACAACATTCGCATTTTCACACAAGCAGAGGCCAAACCAGAAGTAATTCGTCGGCTAGCGATCAAACATCGTTGCAAGATCATTTTCAACAATAAATGTTTCCACGAAGATGGCAATTTCACCGAGATTTTCAATGGCAAAACAGTGGTTGGTGCAATGGAAGAGTTCTTGGTGAAATGGCAGGTGGTCGCCGTACAGCGAAACATGAAGCTCAAGTTGCAAGGCGAAAAGTTCAAAATCGACAAGAAGAAGGCTGCAACGGAACGAATGCACAGCGAACTCGTGGAACGCATGTAATTTTTTTTCCAATGTTCTTTGATTATTTTCAAATATTCATGTTTGTCGACTCAATCCATTTGCAGTGGAAATTTGATCACAATCGCAGATGGCATGAAGGATATGGTTCGAAATACGGATATGTTGGCAAAGTATGCGGATCTTGAGATGGAGCAAAAAATCCAGACTGAGATCAATCGAAAGAAAAAGGAATTGCTTGAGGTAAAAGTTCAATTTTTTCTTCAACCGACGTCAAAAGACTAATGTCAATGTATCATGATTGAATTTTCAGGAAGGTAATGCAACGCCACACGTCGAATTCAAGGAAACAGCACAGGTGCCACAGGTTGAAGCGATCGCTGTGGATGGCTCCATCATGTAAGTCAATTTTCCGAATTCAGACACGAATCTATATTGAATACGAATTTTTCTCATTTTCTTTACTCAATTCGTAGAAAATTTGAGAAGAATGCTTTGAAAATTGTGGACAGCTTCATCACAACGATGGTTGCAGCGCACCCAGATGCCCTCGCAAAGCTCAAACCCGGAATCGAGGAACTTCAGCGTGGCTTATCGGTGCTAGAAACCTTCGATTACAAGCGGCAATTCGAGGTAACGATGGTGCAGTCAAAGGAGGACTTGAAAGAACTGTGCATTGAAATTGATCGCAAGGTTCAGGATCACAGCGAAATTCTCAAGCAATTGAAGACAAAGACATCACAACTTAATGCCATCAAGAAATATCCACAGCTGGTGAACATGCAAAAGGCAAACGATTTGGCCGGATTGAGCTTGCAGAGCGTAAGTACTTCAGAATATTCAAAAAGTAGTCATTATTATTGAGTCAAAAAAATCGATTTGTTCACAGCTACGCGATCAGAAGCAAGCGGCATTCGGTTTTGTGCCATCAAAGGCATTGCTATTGCCAAAACTCGATGCTGATTTCAAACAATTCCAGTCGGACTATGAAGGCGTCGATGAATATGATGTGAATATGCCAAAAGTTCGAATCAACGTCGTCAAAATGAGCACCGAAATGTTTTTGGTTGCTTTGTACTTCTACTGCTTACAGAATGTGTTGAGCACTCTGAACGAAACGATCGATGGTCGCGACGAAGTCATTGGATTGGAAATTGATTCGAAGAATGGCAGTGTCTACATGTTCCCTGATACAACCGTTGACGAAGCATGGGTAATTTAAGTAGTTGATTTTCATCAGAAACTCAGACAATCTCATGGGTATCATTTCTTTTTCAGTGCAATCAATTCGCGATAAAGAATCTGTGTGGCTTGACTTTTGTCGGCAAGATGCGTGATAACAACGATACCATCATCACAAGTGACTTGCTCAGTGTGAAAAGCCCTCGCTTCTGTTTGCTTCTTCACATGATTCTGTCCGTATGGAAGAATCCATCGGTAATCATCCTGAACAAGAATATCATTGGTCACCCAGTCGACAGTTTACGGAAAATCATCTACACATTCCAGCTGGTGTCTGAAATTGATAATCTCGCCCGTGGGCCACAATTTGCCAGCCGTCAAATGATTGTCGTTGAAAGTTCTCCCGGCTGCTATCGTGAACTCTTTCAGCACAACCACAAGGTCATTCAGTGCAATATGGAGGGAAACAAAGCATTCGTTACGTACAAGAATGTACGAAAAGCATAGAGATTAAGACATTTCCACATGTTAGCCTTTTGTTGCGAAGGGAGTACAAGTGATGAGATGTAACCGACATTGTTGTCTATGACACTTTATTATATTGTTTTGGATTAAGATTATTTATAGCGCTTCCAATGACGTATCATGTATTTTGTTTGAATTTCAATGGAAATTGCATTTCATTACCTTTTTTGACATTTCGTACAGACCGTTTTATATTATACTCTTTATCATCAATCAATTTGGTTATGTGAAAATACAAACAAAAGGAGAAAAAAGAAATGGAAGAGAAGAAAGAGAAGAAGAAGAGATAGATCAAATTAAATGATGTCAACATATGTTAGTTGCAATCGCCATATCATTTGAATTGATAAAGTCCATGCAGATAAACAGAATTCATAAAAATACGAACATAACCTAGAAATAATCATGAACAAATCAATCAATGACAGGGACTGAAATTCTCATGCGTCCGAGCTAAAAATTCACGTCTTTTTTACAAGTAAAGTGAACAAAAATGCATCATTTTCCAAAATAGAAATAGATCCGAGTTGATTCGCATTAGTTTTGCTTGAACGTTTCAAAAATACATCGTACATAAACCGATGATAACCGCATACAATGAGCTAAAATAAAAGCAATAAACCGTGAAAGTAATCCAACTGTCATTCCAAAACCAAATGTCACTGATTTCAATAAATAAAACATTTCGGTTTACAAAAATAGTAAAAAAAAATCTCGTAATCATTTATTCAAATTGAATATAAACCGAATTTGCGACTTGAACGGCTTGAAGTTCAATGTAAACTTAAAAAATGTTAGCAAGTTTGGATTGGAAAGTTCATGCTATTATATAGCAGCTATTGTTTCTTTCGCCCAGATTCTCCATTTGTACGACGACCTTTGACGAGTTCTCCAGATCTGTAATCAATCCAAAAGGACATTTTTCTGATTAATTTGCACAGTCTTACAATCAAAGTCATCTCTTAACTGAAATTCAGCCCAATTTTGAAATGGAAAAAGTAGCAATAAAATCACAGAAAAAGACGACCACTCACTTCTTATCGCGCCAAAAGATGCGACTTTCGTAAAACTGGATGACCAATTGTGGACAGTTTTCGTGTGCCCAAGATGCTTGTACGAATTCCGGTTGTTTTGTATTCTTGAAGCGAATGAAAGCGACCAGGTCTTTTTCATCATTACGCACATGAAAAATGTTCAACACCTTTTCTGGCACCAAATTACGATCTTTAATGGTTGTTGCCGTGAGCAAATCGTCTGGATCCAAAGTTTTCTTCGACGATTTTCGTTTGATCGGATTCGAAATGGCATTTTGCATTCGTGTCAATTGATCCGAGATGGAGTTTCCCTCAAGCGAATTATGATATTCCACGAGCATTCTTGGTGATTCGAAATTATCTGCGGGTTCCCATGTGTTTGAATTATTGTCGTAGCCCTGAAACAAATTCAATTTTACACAATCGATTAATCCGATTTACGCAAGACTTTTGTGATGAACAAAGAAATATTCACTTAAATACAAATCATCAGACTGAAGACATCAGTCATTGAATCTTTTTTAATCACAAGAAATCATATTTACCTTCCATTTGACGAAATATTCAAATTTTCCATCTGGGCGTCTCCGGTGTGTAATAATCTCTTCAATTTCGTAAATGGTTTCATCCCCCATTTTGTTGATTCAATCAAACGATTCCAATTTCACTTCAATTCAATCAAATAGAGCACGTGCTAGTTTGTGTCTTTCTCCCGTTTGGCTAAAGAAAACCGTGATACTATTATGTCAGCTCAAAATAAACTAAAGCGGCGAACGTACAGCGTATCTGTCAACGGTTGATGTTCTAGTTTTAGCATTTTTCAAGTGGCAGCCCTACACCAAATTCAAATACAGTCACAAAGCCGACTGTACGGCGTTTGTTTCGATTGTGTTCCATTGAAAAACCGTTTGAAGCAACAACAACAACAACAAGTGTGTTTGCAGCAAGTGACAGTTCAACCGCGTGACCTTACCATAAACACACAGCATTTCGTCTTGTCGCTTCGAACGCTGTGCATCAGATATTGATTGTGTAAAATTTGTTGCTCAAAAATGTCGGACAATGTGCCACGAATTGCGTCTCTGTGCTCTAGAAATTTCCACGCACGATTATTTCAAAATATCCTGGCATTAGATGACTTTCTCGATGCTGTTCTATCGGCGGAAGGTAAACGTATCCAAGTACATCGCTTTGTTTTAGCTGCTGGCTCCAAATACTTCTACAACATGCTACATAGCAACGATAATTCAAGCCAATTTCCGATTTGTAAGTAAAACAAATGTTTTTTTCTTCTTCTTTGGCATGAAGAGCAATAAGTGGAATTGTCAATTTTAATGTTTAAAAAAATATTTTTCTCCAGTCGTCTTCACTGACATTCGATTTGAGCACATGAAACGCATCGTACAGTATTTGTATACGGGTAAAACACAAATTCGTAGCGATGAACTCGATGAATTTTTCCGCGTGGCCAAACAGTTGGAAATTCTTGGTTTGCATCATGAAATTTCGCCCGGCGATCTGTCTGTTATTGGATCGGAGTCATCTGAACCAAATACACCAAATACGACAAATACACCAAATACAACAAATGATCAGGTTGACCGTTCGGCGCCAGTGCCGAACAATACTTCCAGCGAAGAAGCGGGTGTTCAGACTGGACGACAACGCAAGCGATCATTGGATTTGGACGGAAGAGTCAATAATAGCACTAATAATCCAGAGCCTGCATCGAGTCGAAAAACGAATGATCGTAAACGTGCTCGCGTGGAAAAGGCTACTGAACCAGCGAAGGGTAAAACAGTGCACTTGCCCAAATCGACGGATAAAATTCCGCCAGGTCAATCGAACGGTACATCGTCGAAAAGAAACAGGAAAACTGTATCAAACACTGGTGCTCGCAATGACACTGGCAATGGAAAAGTTACAGGTAAGCAAAATAAAATATTTCAAGTAAAAACTTTGAAACATTGTTTGCATATTTTCTTCATTAAACTTGATTTGTTCTATTCCAATTTTTTTTTGCAGAGAAAAATGACGGCAATCAACAAAACACCATGAGCGGACCAAGTACACCACACGAATCCAATGACAACGAAGTGCGCGACAAGAAGGAATTTCAATGTCAAACGTGCCGAAAATCATTTTCCCTGCGCATTCGTCTGCACAATCATTACAAAAACTCAACATGTGAACCGCCACCAGATAATGATGAGACCATTTAAGCGGCATCAAACGGCTATGGACAATTGGACATCCGACATTCAACTTGATTCTCTTCTGGTGTATACATTTCTTTTTATTTCATTTTTCGAATTGTTTGTTTCACTTTGCCGTTTCAAGTAAGACGTAACAATTTTTCGGAATGTAAACGATTCCATCCGATTTACCATTTTGAGCAGAATAGCTGTGTTTATATTTTGCTTTGAAGTAGTATCATTGACATTTGGCATAGATTCGGGTCATGATTTGGAATTTATAGAACGTTATCATGAATTCAATTGCTTGTAATGGAATCACGTTAAAATTGACCTCTCGACATACGTATATATATTTTTTTCGCTTTTAATTTTGCTCAGGTGATAGCAAACATTATATACAATTTTTTTTTTTGCTTCTACATTAGCATTTTGAAATGTGAATTGACGACTTGAATTGATTGAACGAATAAAACAGAAAATTTTTTGGTTCTTGTTAATTGGTTTGTTGTTATCATTCAAAACGATTTTGGTTGTTGTTTCTATCGGAATTGTCAAAGGAGAATTCCCTAACCTCAATTCATTTGGCGTTCAGATTAATCAAGACGCTTTGATGATGGACTGCAAGAACGTGTGCACATCATTTTCAGCATTTGTTTACAAAATGATTTTGTTGAATTATTTTTCCATTGCAGAGAAGCGGCAGATTTGAGAGGAAAAAAAATGTTACAGTATTCATTGATTGTATATTATTTCATCATTGTAAATTTTTATTCATGCAATTCTCTCATACCACTAGGTATTCCATCATTCGTGACGAAAAATATGATCAGTTTCAGGAAACGATTCAACGATTGGATATTCCGTAAGAAATGCGGCATGATCACACAATCCAACCCAAGTATGGCCAGCAGCTGCTGGAAAGCCGACCGTCATCATGATACCATGGCAAAAATTCAAGCTCAACAGGTATCACATTCTTACGGTGTGCCATTCCGATGCGTTCGATCGAATTGGTTTCACTGGATATTCACATTGGCTTAAAGTTTCAGTTTTTGCATCAGATTTTATGCACATTCATTGGGTCTCATCTCACCTAACAGTTCTGTTCTTGCGCGATTTGTTTTTTTTTTTCCTTTCTTCTCAACACACAACAAATCGTTGTAGATTCGCACGGCACCAGAATAACCAGTTGTAACGCAAAATCCCATTGACTGAAACAAGTTCTCTCGTTGCAACGGAGTAGAACAGAAACAGGCTCACACAAATGCATAAAATAGGTAGTCATTTGCATTGAGACGGTTCAACTGACAATTAGTATGAGATTGAGTGTGGAATTCGGAATACACAACATGGAACGTCTAACAATTTCATACACCGCTCTAGTGGCTATCAGTGTAATTTTCCATCAATTTTTACCGTGCACAGCCTTTCCAGAGGTCGCAGCAGTTCAACAGGTAAAAACGAATATATCAACAAAAATGCACAAATGTTGCAATACGAAGATGGTTTTGTGTGAATCGTTGTTTGTATTCGGCAGGAGATTGACTTGGGCAGTAGATTCGATATCAATGAACCGATTGCAAACCAGGGCTTGAGTGAAAACACTAGTCAGGAATTGAAAAAATGCGGCGTACCAAATCAGACGGGTTTGAATAAATTTGGATTGGAGTTTTTGTCCTCATCACATTCCAAAGCAGGTGAGCTAATAAATTCAGTGTGTGTGTGTGCCATCAAACGCCATGAATTCATGAATAAATTTTTGGCATGAATCATGCCGCATGATGTGGATTTTTCAATGAGCCAACGACAAATTGAATAACCGATGAATCAATGACAAATAAGTGAACCAATTTGATTTTTAGGTGAATTTGCATGGACCGTCGCACTGCTTCGAAAATTAAATCACAGTTCGCGGAAAGAGACTCTATTGTACAGTGGAGCTGGCTCTTTAATTCATCCATCGGTCGTGCTGACTGCGGCCAATAAGCATCATACAACTGCAATGGACCTCATACGAGCTGGTGAATGGGATTTTGGTGCCATCAACGAAGAGCATCCATATCAAGATCGAACCATTGCTGATGTTATTAATATCGACGAAACGGATCCAGATTCGGTGCAGTTGATTTTTGTGACTGAACCATTCGTGCTCTCGCTAAACATTCGAACGGTGTGTTTGCCATTGCCTGGAACATCTCCCGAATTGGCGGACACACGTGAATGTACCACAGCTGCATGGGGTCAACAGAATTGTAGCGGTTTGAAAGGATTGCATTCAATTTTGGGCCGCACTGAACTATCGACCGATACACATCGCTCGGTGTGCGAACTCGATTGGCAACAGTATCTCGAGGACACAACATTCCGATTGAAAACCAATCAATTTTGTACCAAACGAATGCATACCATTGATGATTCATGTTTTTGTGATCATGGTGCGGCGCTCTTTTGTGCAACTCAACCCAGCGGTGAGCTGAAGCGTTACGAACAAATTGGTATCTCCATAGCAACCGGTGGTTGCACAAAGGATTTGCCAGGTATTGAAATATTCATCTTTTATGATTTAATCGACGGAAACGACGTCGGTTTGTTTTTCTCTCCTTACATTCTTATCGCTTCTTCGTTTATTATTCTTCTGTTTTGTCGTAGGCATTTTCTCGAGCGTGTCTGAGCAAAAGGCGTCAATCGATGGAATTTTCGCACAAAAAGGCTTGGATTCAGCATACTACACGGCATAAACAATGCACGATATAATTTCCAAACAAAGTCGCCGCTTCTTTTGAAATCTCATTTGTGGCACATTTCAATAGGATTAGCTTAATTCTAGCACATTATTATGAATAACCCAGTACAATTTGAATGAAATCTTTCGCATATTTTTTCGTTAAATGACAAGAAACAGATTTAAATCAGAGAGAGAGAGGGGAGTTTGTGCGCTCTCAAGCCATAATCATATTTCATCAAGTTTATCGTGAGATTATGAGAAATCATGAATCCGGAGCCGCTTTGGCCCATCAACAGAAAACAAGATAGGGAAACATGGAGAAAATTGTACTCTGCGGCAGAAATAGCATCACATTCATGTGGCATTTTCTCACATTTTATTTGATTTAATATTCATGCAATAAATTTTTGCTTTTTCCGCTGGAAAAAACGGGTCCGTATTTTGAATAAATTTTGGCTTGAATTAAACTGCAGAAAAAGGGAAGTGCTTGAATAAAACATTTTGGTTGACGGTTGAAAATTTCAACAAATAGATGATGGAAGAGCCGAAAAAAGGGATATCAATGAATATTTTATTCCGATAAGATGCCTATTCGTAATTAAAGTTCATTAAAGTTAAGCCCAAAAACTTTGCAATAAATTCATTAAAGTGAAAAAATGTGATTAATTTATTCATTTCGGTGTGTTAGGCCAAACCAAAATTGGAGTTATGGTCAGTAAGTTCCATAGAGCAGGAGGAAAAATTCATATTCAGTACGTGTCGACATGTTGCGTAAGAAAAATTGTTCTGTCGGAATTCGTCTGATTTATTTGTTCATATAATTCGTTCTAACGCAAAGCACGAAATGCAAAGACAACATTTGACAGGTAAAATCCAAGCAATTTTCCGAATTTGAGGCGTTTAGGCTCAGGATACATATATAATTCCATTATATTTTTGTGCCATAAACGACAGTTGGGACGCGTAATATATTATTGAGCAAGGAGTTTCATAGTCACGTGAGTTGAATTGTGCAAGGTAACTGTTAATGGCACAACATTGTTGGCTTGACGCGAGTGTGTGTATGTGTGCAGGGAATGCGTGCAAGCGATAAACCGGAGGGATCCAAAGAATATTGCCTTAATGCTTTTAATTCGCTTCATGTTATGGCCATATATTATTTATTAACCGTGTTTGCATCTAGTTCATCTCGTAAACACATTACGCATCCAGTTAATCTAAATTATCAGCCTTCTCACTAACATATCGATCGTTCTCGTTCTGTGTTTGCTCGGCATGATGTACAGTTTCTTGTTTCTCGCTTGTACACACACACACACGTACGCACACGTTCAACCGTCGTACAAAGTATCGCTGCGTTGGAATTGCCTTGAACCACTGAGCCAAATTATTTCCCTATTTATTCAAATTGTTTTCATTTGTCTATGACGCTCGAACGGACACACATATATCAATAACGAACTCTAATTTGTAACAAACAAATTTCGCGATTTTTATTTACTCTCGTCATGTACAACTCGCTCGCTAATGGAAAACATTTGAGCTGGACGTTTATTTATTTTGGTGGAAAACTTCAAAAATAGACTCCATAAATAATTTTCAATGATTCGAGAATAATCGTTCAACCGTGGATTTCGAAATTAGTAGGTCAATCGATTATGAAGAATCATAAACGCAATAAACCCATTATTATGCCGTAATTCAGCAAATGGCAACATTTGGCCGGGGAGAAATGAACTCACAACAGCTGAACACCAACCATAATATTTTGAATTTATACTGGGAGAAGTCATGGCATAAATAAAGTCGGAAAATTAGCCAATGAAATTTTCGAACTTAATTTCATTTTATTTGTTTTTCTCTTTCTATTTTGCTAATCAAGGTAAAACAACTGGACTTTCTCCTTTTATCATCACCAAAAGCCATTGAAATGTCTTTCATCGTTGTTTGAACCATTTTTGACACATAGAACATTTCCTACTTTTGTGATGTTTTTTTTTTCATTCATTGATGAATTGATTCATGAATTCAGTATAATATCAATTCGAATAAACAAAGAAAAAACATGCATTTTTCTTTCGTTGTGAATTTTGTTCGTCGATAAGGAAATACAATTTATTCTGGAAGTTCAAAGAATCTGTTAAAGTCAATATATGTATGTAAATCAAAAATATGCGAGGTTAACATTTCGTGTCTTATTTTCGTGTTTCGTTCAGCAAAAACAACAGGCGCATGCATAAACATTTAGTGATTGATTATGAGCTTGGTTTTAATCGGATATAGCCGGAAGGAAGTACAAAAGCTGATGCATTAGCAGTCACGAGTCAATAATATTGACGAAAAAATTTCAATTTCGGTCCGCTTGCGACCTCTGGTCAATATCTCTTTCGAAATAAAAAAAAATATCTCTTTTGGAATCTAAAGACAATAGTCGGAAATGAAACCGATTTTTTTAATCTGTGCTTATTCGTTCAACCAATTAGTATTTTTGTCATAATTCTTTTAATTGACGCGCACACATATTGCGATGTGCGATTGAGAAAAATGACTAATCTCCATCTGGTGTGAGACCGACGAGTGGACGAGCGTTTTATGTAAAGTGATTTCGTTACCAGTTCAACGGAACGTTCAATGCTGTGCACTTGAATTTCGACTACCAATCCATATCGATTTTCTGGCTATCGACAGCAAGACGGCGACGGCGACGGCGACGACGTCACGTTCACCTTCGAAAATTTTCACAATTTTCTTTTCTAGTTAAAAGCATTTCAAGAACATTTCGTACGTATACAAATAAGTTTGTATAGCATAACGTTGCTGGATGCTTTCATTCTCATCCATTATCTAAATCGCAGAGTTTGTTTGAATGCGCCAGTCGCCGTTTTTGATGCTCTGTGTGGCGCGCCATTGCTTCATCAAGTACACACGGATTTTTCCTTCTTTTGTAAAATGACATGAACCAGAGAATTGACAGTCAGAAGGAATGTACGACATAAACACGTCTTTCTTCGTGTGAATGAACACTCAAATAGAAGGCGAACAAAGGAATTTCTTTTTTTACACAATTTTTTCTGAAATGTATCAATACCCATCGAAATGGAAAAAAGTTCCAAACAAAAGAAAAATAAAAAATCAATGATTATTTACTCGATACTGGTCAAAATAGGGCGCGTTGGCTTCACTCAAGACTGATATGTGACAGTTGCGTGTGAAAGCATGTCATTGATGCAATAAGAGCCATTCGTTGCCAATGTGACAACATTGTGGTCATGTGTGGCCCGGGTAAATAAACACACGAGCAACACTTGAGCAAAAGAGATAGCACGCATCGGGATTGTGACTCTGTTTCAATCTCAATTTGTATTGGAATTGATAAGGTTTCGATGCGACAAACTTCTATTGACATCTGACATGAGAATTGACGGCTTCTCAGTGATAGAATCTCAATGTAGAATGGGATTTGAGGACAACGTAATTTTATATTCCATTCAAAATAGCACTAACAACTAAAAATAAAACTGGGTTTCTCATGCGTAGTAGGCTCTTTTTTGTCTCGATGGCGATAATTACTTGTGTGATGAGATCAACGGATTTTCAATTTTTTTCAATCATTCGATTGATTGTGTTTTTCATCTCTGCGCAACGAAAATTCCGCATTTAGAAACCAATTAACAAAGTATTCAATTGTACACCACTTTATTCATAACTAATCACATTTCAATACTGACACGTTTTCTGTGTCAGCGGAAGTTTTTCTCCAGCCATTTAGTTGTTGTTGCTGCTGTTTGCGTTAGTAGTTGTTGTTACTGAGCGACAGACCTTTGACTTTAGACAAGACAAAGACAGTGTTCTTATCACTGCGACGCACACAAAGTACAGCGAAAGAAAAAAACATCAAAATGAAACTTATCTTACCCAATAACATGAAACAGAGAAAAAAGTATATATATGGATTTGATCAATTGAACTGAATCATCTCAATTTTACTTGAATTGATGTGAAGTTTGCTACAGTGAGAGTCTTCCTTATCACCAAGTACCGGGCGTAATGATAGCTTTACACAGTAAAAATACGCAAATAAATCGTTGTAATGAATTAATTGAATGAATATAGGATAACACACAAGGTTAAGCCCACCGAACCAAGTCATGTGACACACCCTCTTTGATCAATTCAAGCGCAAATCAAAACGATTCGAATTTTTATTCGTTTTTTTTTACAACAGAAATGTAAACAAACGCCGTATATATGGAAAGGAAGAAAATACGTATATTCCCGCGGTTTATTTCGTCGAATAAACAATCCAATTCTTTTCAAGTCGATTTTAATAAGAATTTTGTTCTATGAAATGCAACGATGGAAAAATTTGGGACTTTCGTGGAAATCAAATTCGCAGTAACATTTCAGCTCAAACAGATTTGACGTGATCATATTATTTATTAGTACGCTTGAGTGCTTCAGCTCTTACTGAAAGATTGTGACAAAATTACAATTTGAAGTCTTTCTAAAAATGAACATGTTCCAGTTGTACGTTCTCCGCTGAATTGTTGACAAGTATTCATGCTATATTCATGAATATATCAGATATCACAAAAATCTTTCCAAGTAATTCATCGACAATCGAAAGTAAACAAGGTTAAGAAACCGGAAAAGAAAACGCAAGACACTGTAAAACCATTACATTTCATACACTAATTTGCCAAGTACACTGAGCCAATCGTATGAAAAACAGTGAACGCGAGAGAACGAGAGAGAAAGAAAGAGGGAAAGAGCGAACAAGAGCAAAAGAGAAAATGTGACCGCTTTAAGAAATGTAAACAGTCATGTGATTTTTGTTGGTAAAATATATTGGTCTCACTTGCTCCCATTCAATTGCACCGCATTAATCATTTTTCCCGGCTCAATCAATATTTGATAACAATTTAATATACAGTAACACAGAGTAATGAGCGAAATCACGTGCTTGTGCTGCTTTTTAGTGCCGATTAGCGGTCGACAAGAAATACATTTACATCACAATGAAAAGTCCTGAGAACATCGCAATAGCAACAATAACACATGCGTACGCTCAATGATTCGATTCAGTTTAATGTGGTATTGTAAGGGCCAAAATTATAAGCATCAATAAATCTATTTATAGGAGTTTTTTACACGCGCTGTCACATCATGGGATCATTTGTCTTGCCTAGCATCAATTTTAAGTAGATTTAGAAACAAATTGCTCTCTTGTAATTGACAAAAAAATAGATAGTGACTAGTGATTTTTTTGCGCGTGCGTGGGCAATGTCCACAAAATCACATGCTTCCTCCGAATTTTCAACAACAATTTTCATAATAATCCAATTATCAAGTTGGTTTGTTTTGTCTTCGTGGCTCATTTACCGAAGAAAAAACACATTTTCTGTATGCGAAACGATGCTGAATATTTCCATAATATTTGCTCACATGATCAATGTCTTGTTGAAAAAGAATAAACAGAACTAACATCAACGATCAACTCGATCATTTTCGTTTCTTTTATTGCATTCGCAAGCAAATTAAATCTAATTGGTGTTCCGCTGGTCAATTCCGCGCAAAAAGAAATGATTGTGATTTTTTTTACATTTTATAATGTGCGAAACCGCAAGCATCCAATAAAAGTTGCGACATTCAAACTT